ACGCCGCCTCTCCAGGCCGTGGCCGCCAGTGCCAGGCTGCCGCAGCTATATTAAGGTGTTTTGGCACTCGGGCGCTGAAATCGGACGCGTGCGAGACGTGGCCGCGGGTCGCTCTTCGCTCCGCGGCGGAGAAACCAACGAGAGAGAGAGAGAAGGAGGAGGAGAGGAGGGGCGCGGTGGCGGAGACTGCGCCACAAGCAGCGGGTGTCTCCTTACCACGGACACGGCGGGTGTGCTCAGACAGCCCCCCCACCCCGTCTTACTGCGCTCACACCCAGGGTCACGTGTGCCAAAGCTCTCGCCGAGTTGAGTCTGTGGGGTGGAGATTGGAGGGGGTTGGGGAGGGGGGCGAGTGCAGGACCCGTTTTGCTTGACGCGGTTGAATCTGAGACGGGAGCCGCGGGGCTACGAGCTTCGTGCAGGGGGTGGGGGCGGGGGGGGAGGGGGGAGGGGGTGGGGGGGCGCGTCCGTTCCCTCGAGAGGAGAGGCCGCATCTCGCCCCTGGCAGAGCGCGCAGAGCAGGGCGATGGGACCCGGCCCAACTCCTTTTGCCGTTGCTGTCATTGAGTCGCTGCTTTGGGCAGAGGGGGGTTAAATGTAGTAATAATAAGTAAATATTAATGATTTAATAATTAAATAATTGTGCTAAAATCATCACCGGCTCAGGCAGCACGGAGCGCCGCTAGGGGGGCGCGGGGCTCTGAGTCGGGAGACGAGAAACTCGCGCTCGCTTCCCCCGCCTCCACGCGGCCCCCCCCCACCCCCCTACCCCCGCTCCCCACCCCACGCCTAGAAATCGATATCTTCGCATCCTCGATTGTCTCCGCACCCCACGGCCATTAATACCCCCCCCCCCCCACCGCTTCCACTCTCATATTCACCTTCACAGCGCCTCCTCCTCCCGCGGTGGCCGGGGAGGGGAGAGCTCTCGGCCTGGGTGCGTGTGGCGAAGGGCTCGGAGGGTTGTGGGCTCGAGATGTGATGAACGTCAGAGTATTGTGAGGCTCAGTGGGACAGGGCGAGTGGGACAGGCCACTGTGTTAAGGGGCTGGCGCTGTAGTTATGTGGGGCGAGTCGCGTGACCGCGTTCGGCATGGAAAGGGCGATGGGGCGAGCGCAGTTTTCTGGGGTTAATCGCCGTGTTAGCAGTGGTGGTGCACGAGCAGTAATAAGAAAACAACCCAACACGCAATTACACTGTGGCCTTAAAATATATAATAGGTGACGTTTCGGGCAATGACCCTTTTAACTGAATTGCCATCTGGTCCCTTGGTGTGAAGTGTTCTCTCCAACTCTAATCGTCCACGGTCTCTCCTCTGGCCTCTCTACTTACGTCCGATTCGTGAAATATGTGCTGTGTGTATTAATAGCAGCGCATTTATACGTGCAACTGAAGAAGGGGCCATCACCCGAAACGTCGCCTGTTATGTGTTTCCCTCTTAAGGCCACGGTGGTGCTATTGACGCGCGTGTGGAGTGTGCAGCTTCGTGGTGGCGGCGGCTGTGCCACCTCGCACCCCGCGCATCGCTTCGTTTATTTACAACTGCGAGGGCCGTAAATAATTGGCAGGCAGCTGAGGCGGCTGACATCTCCGCGTGCAACTGCCGGGGGGCCCCGACGGGTAGAGGGGATCTCTGGGGCCCCGACGGGGTAAGGGGACCTGCGGGGCTGACCCTCACCCCCCCCCCCTCCAACACACCCCGTAACGCGTGCCACCCCAGCGCTTTAGGGGTTCCAAAATAAGAATCGCCGAGTGGTTGAATCGCACAGTTATAACGGAGTTGCGCGTGTGGGGGGGGGGGGGGGGGGGCGGTGGTGCAGTGGTTAGCGCGCTGCGCTAACAACCCGGTGACCCAAGTTGGATTCTCTCTGACTGCCGCAAACACTAGTGACGATTATTTTAACCGGGGCCTCCCCTAGGTCAACTCAGCAAAAACGAGTACCGTACCTAGTGCGATGTATTACCATTGCTACTCAAGAGACAAAGGCAGCCGGGCGTGGGGCAGGACACACACGGCCTCCACGTGTGGCGGGCCAGCCTACACGCGGTGCTCGCTAACAGCACTTGCCCCAAAAGTCTGTTAAGGCTATACGGGGATCTGTATGTTTGTGGTGCCGTGTTCACAATCGCAGCAATAGCAGAAGCAGCAGCGAGGCTTCCCAAACATGGGATTGCGCGCCCCTGTGTGCTCACGCGCGGGCATGTAGTCTATATGTGTATATGTGTAATGAATACGCCGGCGTGCGTAAATAAGTAAAGAGACTTCGACGCATTTGTACAAAAAAAAACAGTTGCCACGATTGCGAAAGGGTACCTACCACACGTTTCTAAACGAATACATTGGCGCCCTTTGTGAGATGTCACGGCCCTCTGCGCGTCCTCACGTGCAGGTGGGCCCACAACAAATGGCGCTGATAGGCCGCGCCTGCCACCCGGGCCAGAAAGCGAGGCACGACAGATATGGCACGCGGACACCAGTGGACCGAGCCCCTTGCAATCTCGCTCCCTCTCTCTGCGTCTGTGAGCCACCACGCCCTTTCTTAAAGACGCCGGCTCGTGTAGACTCAACGACTCTGCATCATCGAGTTGCATGTTCAACCTCTTTGGCACCGTACGTGGCCGACCGTGCTCATCGGAGGAGCGAGGATTCTCCTCCCAGTTGCGTCCAATGGTTCTCATTGCCCGACATGTTCCCTGTCAAAATCACATTCACACTCTGAACTTATTGAACTGAAAATAAACTGAACTGAATAACCACATTTCCATACGCTTCGTTCTTTAGAAATCGCACTTGCAACTTCATCAGCCTATCCAGCATCATCGCGAGTCCCTGCCACTCTCGCGTTAGTCTCGACCACTGCACTGACAAGGCTTGCGTAATCATTATGTGCAATATATGTGTACATTGTACGGTAGTTGTGTGCATGTGTGTTTGTCTTTACATGTGTGTGGCGGCTTTTGTTATATATGTGTGTGGATTTCGGGAACCAACACCCATTTTCCTCCCAAATATTTAGAGATGCAAAGTTGATGATGCAGAGTTGTATACAACACCACGGCACTTGTGCCAGGCTAGGTGCACTTTGAGTCCAGAAGATCACGACACAGACCCAGGTTCCATGGGTTGACTGAGTGATTATGACTGGCAGATGCGCCACCTGTGCTTCCTACTGTGCCAACGTGTGGCATTTTAGCCGCTCGGCGCTCTGCTCGTTGTTTTGAACTCACTCCATATCACCCCCAGTCGTCAATAACATTGACGTGTTTTATATTATATATGTTTAAGTTATAATAAGCGAAATTTCGGACAATGGTGCTTCTTCCCAGCATGTAGCAGAGGGCCCAGAGATTTGCGTGTCTGTGAGCCGGCAGTGAATGAGCACCAATGGCTCGATGCTCGTGAGATCGGCGGGAAGCAACTCTGACAATCCGGTGTCTGGAATCTGCTGGTCCTTTAACTAGATTGGAAGTCGAGCTGCACATATGACCATCCACCCGGTTTCCTCACCCAACCTCCTCCCCTCGACGTGTTGTTCTATTCCTACTTGAGTCCATGGCGATGGTGTCAGATCTCACGCTGCGAATGACGACTGGGGTCTCATTGCCGTAGCTGGAACGTCACGCGTGTTAAATATAAAGCTGGCGTGTGCGTGTGTATCCCAGCGTGTGGGGAGGTCGACTCAGCCTCAAACAAGTGCGTGGTGCGCTGTGTAAACATCTCCACTGGGTAGATAGAGGCGATCGGGGATGGTGTTGGCCACCCACCACTTCGTGTGCCGTGTTGGCACTTAATAGGTGCTACCCGCTAACAGCACTTGCCCCAACAGTTGGTTAGAAGCTATACGGGGGGGGGGGGGGCTTTGTCTTTGTCACCAAATCATGAAGTTAGTTGGGACTGGCGAAGTGAAAAAGAGAAAGTTGCTCTCTTACTCCGATTGCAAACGGAGCTGGAAATTCCACGTTCCTTTTCAGACGCCGAGCTGGTGGAGTTAATTCGCCAGACCATGCTCGGTGTCTTCCTCCCGCACGGGGTCTGGAGATGCTATTTTGATTCAGGAGTGTTACATGTCTCAGTGTATCAACACCACTGTGTGGTCTTAACATTAATATATATTATGGGCGAAGTTTTTGGAAAGGGTAAGCGCATACCTAAGTGCAGAGGGAGTTGCAGTGGTGGTGGTGGTAACAAACGCTTAGGCCGTGATGACTGCTCGATCTTCAAAATGCATTGGCAAGCTGGGCATGTATGATGTATGTATGATGCATGTAGCACGCTAACCAATACACTACCGCCCCCCATGATTACACTCCACTACCGCTCACCATACACGCACGGTGCGTGTCTGTACAGACGGTAAACAGCCCGTGTTGTCGCGTCTGCTTGGGTTCGTGCTCGTCTTGAACCACACCCGTACCACCTTCTTGCCCCCCCTACCCCGCCCGTGAGCGCCCCCCGCCGTGTTACATAACCGCGCTCGCCGGTGCTGAGTGCCGTCCCC